TATCTCTCTCTCTCTCTCTCTGTCTTTATCTCTCTTTCTAACTCTCGTTCTATCTTAACACACACACAAACGTATATACAGGGTGACCCCCCCAACAAAAACCAATCGACAAACAAACTGTACAACTATTTTTGGGTTAATATTTTTCTCTACTCTGAAGTTTTTCGTTTCAAATTTTTACGAAACATTTGGAAGTCAAAAGGAATTTGTTTGATATTCATTTGAGATAAATCCACAAAATAGTTTTGCTCTTCATAGCACGTAAAAAAACAACAACTCATTTTCAGCTAGGTCCCCATTTGTAGCATGACGCATTAATTCGCATTAAACCTACCACTAAAAATCCTAAGGATTGCGCCATATTGCAAATCTCAGTAGTCTAACAGGCCAGCAGAAGTTTGCAGATAGTTTTTCTCAAGTTTCCTTTGTCTGCTGAGATCGTGGTTAAAGGGGGGCTACACCTGAAGACCATCTCGCTTATTACTATACCGAATTTTACCAAATTTCACACATATAACAAGCATAGTAAGGAGTCTTAAAAACCGCAATCAAATTTGAGAAAAAGGATTCGTTTTCATGGATACGCGGCCATATTGGATTTTGTTGACATGTCTTACGTAATGAATGCCGCACTTACTACTAATGGAAATTGATTATTTGTTTGCATGCGTGTTAATAAACATTAGATTTAAATGTTTGTATTTCGTTTTTGTCCTGAACGAATTAAAAAAATTGTTATGAATTTTCTTCTGAGGTGCCATTTAAGTTTGCAAAAAATCCAGGAAAATTCACACTCAAGACACCACTATTCTAAATATCAAAAATTCAGCAGACGAATTTTTAGTGTTCTATCGTCTCTTCATTTTGTGAAAATGTCATGAAGATTGGATTTTAAAAAAATGGTGGAGTTATTCAAAAAAGTATAGAGAAAAGTCGCGTTTTGAGAAATCAGCCGGTAAAGAAAAAAAATATTGACTTTATGAGGAAATGATGGTGATAAATATCCCCGGTATGGAAACAAATACGATTTTTGGGGGTTCTTATGCAATAAAATAGTTGCATGAGAGGCTGAGGAAGCTAAAAATGCCTACAACTCAAATTCCATAATTTTTAGCCGAATCGGGGCTTTGGGGGTGTAGCCTCCCCCCACCCCTTAAGATAAGTTAAGGGCAGAGAGCTTTTGTATTGAACATTTCCTGACCACCAGCTCATTTCGTAGGTTTCACACAAGGTACGAAAATAATGTTAAAGTACCCTTAAGGCCTTCTTTGATGTCAAGGGTGGAAATGTTCTGTATAGAATCAGAAAATAAATTCCCAGACACAACGACCATTTCTTGTCAAACTTGCACCATTCGCACTCCTTTAAACGTCACCAGGGTACATAATTCATTAGATTAGCCCCATGAGACGTTTGTCCGTAGACAAAGTCTTCAGCGATGAATTTCCTACACCTAAACTGTCCGCATTCTCAAGGCATAATATCTTCATCTACAACTGTACCATTTTCCCGTTCGCGAAGCTATCAGATGATAGCAATGTATTCATGATTTCTTGAACGTCTTGAAAAGGCCTATGACATTTGATTCCTTGGCAAAGCCCATATTCACCTTTCAGGTTTTACCAACTCCACAAATGCTGTCTATTTGGGCAACCTCACTTCAGCCCCTCCCCCCCCCTTTCCTCTATTGTCTCTAGAAACAGCTCCATACGGTAAGGCGTACAGTGTGTATGGCTTTGAGTACTCATGGTTGGGTGGATCC